AGGCCCACCAACAAAAGCAAAAGACCCAGCCAAAGACCCCAAAAACAAAAGACCCAGCAAAAGACCCAGCAAAGACCCAGCAAAGACCCAGCCAAAAAAAAGACCCAAAAAAGATCCCAGCCAAAGACCCAAAGCCAAAGACCCAAAAGGCCCAGCAAAGACCCAGCAAAAAGACCAACAAAAGGCCCCAGCCAAAGACCCAGCCAAAAGACCCAATAAAAGACCCAAAAGACCCCAGCAAAGGCCCAATAAAGGGCCACCCAGCAAAAGACCCAAAAAGACCCCCAGCCAATAAAGACCCAGCAAAAAGTCCCAGAAGACTCCCAAAGGCCCAGCCAAAGAAACAAACCCAGCCAAAAAGACCCAGACCCAGCCAAAGACCCAGCAAAAGACCCAAAGGACCAACAAAAAAAAACAAAGGCCCAAAAGACCCAACAAAAGGCCCAAAAGACCCCAAAGACCCAGCAAAGGCCCAAAGACCCAAAAGACCCAAAGGCTCCCCAGCCAAAAGACCTAAAAGGTAACAAAGACCCAAAAGGCCCAGCAAAAGACCCAACAAAAAGCCAAAGGACCCCAAAGAGCAAAAAGGCCCAAAAGACCCAGCAAAGCTAAAAAGCTAAAGACCCATAAAAAACCCCTAAAAAAACCCAGCAAAGACCCAGCAAAAGACCCAGCTAAAAAAAACCAGCAAAGACCCAAAGACCAAAGACCCAGCAAAAGGCCCACAAAAAAAGGACCCAGCAAAAGACCCAGCAAAAGACCCAGCAAAAGACCCAGCCAAAGACCCAGCCAAAGACCCCAAAGACCCAATAAAAAGACCCAATAAAGACCAGCCAAAGGCCCAGCTAAAGACCCAGCAAAAGCTAAAGACCCAGCCAAAGACCCAGCCAAAGACCCCACCAGCAAAAAGACCCAGCCAAAGACCCAAAAGACCCACCCAAAAGACCCAGCAAAGACCCAGCAAAAAAGCAAAAGGCCCAGCCAAAGATAAAGACAACAAAAGACCCACCAAAGACCCAGCCAAAAGACCCAGCAAAAAAGGCCCCAAAGACCCAAAGACCAGCAAAACAAAAAGACCAACAAAAGGCCCAGCCAAAGACCCCAAAGACCCCCAAAAAGACCCCCAGCCAAAGACCCACCCACCCAAAAGACCAAAAGACCCAGCAAAGACCCAAGCCAAAGACCCCAAAAAGACCCAGCAAAAACTAGACAAAGCCAAAGACCCAATAAAAACCCAAAAGACCCAAAGGACCAGCAAAACCCCCAAAGACCCAGCAAAGACCCAACAAAAGACCCAAAAGGCCCAGCCAAAAGACCCAGCAAAACCCCAGCCAAAAAGCCAAAGCCAACAAAAGGCCAACAAAAGACCCAACAAAAAGGCCCAGCAAAGACCCAAAAGACCCATCAAAAGACCCAGCAAAGACCCAAAAGGTCCAAAAGACCCAGCAAAAAGACCCAAAAGACCCAGCCAAAGACCCAGCAAAAAGACCCAAAGACCCAAAACCCAGCAAAAGACCCAGCAAAAGGCCCACCCAGACCCAACAAAAGACCAAGCAAAAGTCCAGGAAAGACCCAACAAAAGACCCAAAAGACCCAGCAAAAAAGACCCAGCAAAAGGCCCAACAAAGACCCCAAAAGCAAAAGGGACCCCCAAAGCCCCAGCCAAAGACCCAAAAGACAAAAAGGCCAAAAGACAAAAAAGACCCCCAAAAGACCCCAAAAAGGCCCAGCAAAAAGACCCAGCCAAGCAAAGACCCCAAAAAGACCCCAAAGGCCAAAGACCCAGCAAAAGACTCCAGCAAAAGGCCCAGCAAAAAAGAAAGGCCCCAAAAGACCCAGCAAAGACCCAGCAAAACCCAGCTAAAAATAAAAGACCCCAAAAAAAGGCAAAGACCCAGCAAAGGCCCCAAAGACCCAGCCAAAGACCCAGCCAAAACCCAACAAAAAGACCCAGACCCCAAAACCCAGCCCAAAAGGCCCAGCCAAAGACCCACAAAAGACCCAAAAAGACCCAGCAAAAGACCCCAGGCCAAAAGACCCAGCAAAGACCAGGGCCCAAAAGACCCAGCAAAAGGCCAGCAAAAAGGCCCAAAATAAAAAGGCCAAGCAAAAGCAAAGACCCAGCAAAAAGACCCAAAAGACCCCCAAAGACCCCAAAAGGCCCAAAAGACCCAGCAAAAGGCCCAGCCAAAGACCCAGCAAAAGACCCAGCCAAAGACCCAGCCAAAGACCCAGCAAAAGACCCAGCAAAAGGCCCAGCCAAAGACCCAGCAAAAGACCCAGCCAAAGACCCAGCCAAAGACCCAGCAAAAGCCAAAGGCCCAGCCAAAAGACCCAGCAAAAGGCCCAGCTAAAGACCCCAAAAGACCCAGCAAAAGGCCCAGCCAAAGACCCAGCCAAAGACCCAGCAAAATGTCCAGCCAAAGACTCAGCCAAAGACTCAGCCAAAGACTCGTTAAAGAGCAGTTAGTGAAAACCTGACAACGTTACATTAGATTGCAACTAATGAAAAAATGACAAATCTAATGAACTATTTTATTTTTATTTTGTTGGGATTTATACATTAATTAATATTTTACTTAATCCGTTTTCTTGATATTTTTATGATCGATGATGGGGTTGAATATCTAAATATAACAAAACCTCTAATTAACATCCCAAACTTACATTTATCTTCAATTTAACCAGGATAAAAATAGACTTAAAGAATAATCAAAAAAAAAAAAAGAAATCCTCAATTAAGTGTCCCAATGTTTTTCTTTCTGCGAATATTTAATTTTTATGATACTACATCTGATACTATGATATGATATGATACTATGATATGATACATCTGATACGTTTTATGATACTACTATTTTTATTTACTACATATATTTATAAGATGTTTATAACTTTTAGAACTTTTGTCAGGTTAAAATGACGATCAAATAATAGCAATTTCGAAGGAGGGCATTATAATTAAATTGTGAAATTACTCTTAGAAAACTTGAGCTTAGAAACTTCAATCAATTCTTTGATCGACTCATGTGTATCTGGTAGGTTCCAAACGATTTGAACTTGAAAGACTTACTCAGCCACAGTTATCTGAAGAAATTATTATGTACTCAAAATTACTATTTCAATTGTGATATATATTCAACATCTGCTAATGTTGTGTTTAAGGGTGCTTGTCCATAGCCGAAAGTTAGTTTGACAGGCCAACTGCTTGGTCTTCTATGATTTCTCTACTGTTGTGACCTTGTGCCAAATGTAGCTTTCTAGTGAGCTTTGCCATTGAGCAGTGGTTACCAAGCGTGTCCGGCACATCATCGAGGGTGTGCTACACTTGCAGTTTTGTACCAGACTAAAAGTTTAGTAAATGCGTTCTTCTTTTAAAAACGAGAAGATAATACACAGTAAACAAAACAAATTTGTATTTTATTAAATTTATTACACGCATTTAATATTCCCTAATAAGCGCCCATGAATGATTGCCCCTTTGAGTTTCAAATAGACGGACCGGAAAATTTTAAAGAAAATCCACTTGGGACAACCTTATTCCAACTACCCCGTTTATTAAATATTCAAATGAAACGTGCTGTCCTAGGCTGCTCGCATCCTAAATTAATGGGTTGGAGAAATTTTCTCAAATCATACTTATTATAAAACCCAGGTTGTGTGTGTGTGTGTGTCTGTTCGTTTATATATTGGATCGGATTTCCTACATTTTTCAACCGATTTCGACAAAACTTCACAGGACTACGTAAAATTACTGTGCGATGGTTCTGACAGCGCCAAAAATTGGAAAAACACAATTGTTTTTGCACAAAATCAATTTGAAAACATGATTAAGAGGCATGTTGCGAGAATGAAAGGGGGACAACTCATATCGAGTTATACTTATTATAAAAACCCAGGTTGTTTGTGTGTGTTCGTTTATATATGGGATCGGATTTCCTACATTTTTCAACCGATTTCAACAAAACTTCACTTTTTTTTTGGCAGGTAGTGTTTCTTATTGTCTTGCACACTTTTTTCTTTATTTTTACATTCAGAATGCTTTAAAAATTCCATTTACAAGACAATTGTTTATAATAAAATTCTATTCAATTGGTAGACTCATAACGATTGAAAACAATGTTTTTGTTTGAGTTTAGGTTTGACCGATTCGTAAAAAAAAACAAAAAAAATTAAAAACTGATTAAGACATGCGTGTCCATCAACCTTAAACAATAATCTTTTGTCAATTTTATTTTTCAGTCTTTATGATGGTCGATACTTGATCTATCTCTTACTGTTACATCCCCGGGCTACTGCTAGTATTTAATAAAAGGAGTGGTTGGAATAAGTGTGACACAAGTGGATTTTTCTAAAAAAAAAAAATTAATAATAATCGTTTTTGCCCGTTTATTTGAAACTCAGTGCCATGTGAGGGTACGCGCGTGGATTATTGGTGACGTGTTTGTATATTTATAGATAACTGCAATGAACATTATTTATATTCATTGCATCTTTATAAAGTAAGGCGTTTTGTTGCATAAATGAATCTCTGTATGGTTACATTGTCGTCATTCCTTGACCGTGCTTTTACGCATGTGACTGTTTTTTTATACGTATATGTGTGCGTGTGTTGCACTAATAATGACTGTGTTGTTAGATAATGCAAAATTATTTTTCACCGCCTTTGCACCGGTGTCAATTACTCGATCTCGCCTCATAATGTAGTTCCGTTTCCCCTTCAAAAACCTCTAACCCACCGTGAAGCCGGTCCATCAATCATGAACTTACTTAACCGTATGATAGATATAGCGAACATAAAGAAGAAAACACAGAACGGTTCCGGTATTGCCCTCAGTCAATGAATTACCGGCATCAATTTTTTTTTTTGTTCAGCTCCAAATTTCGGCCTGTGCAGTCTTTGAACTTTCCAATCTGTTTATGAAATTTAGAAATAAATTGATTTAATGTCATTATTTCAAGAATTGCTATCCTGTTTACTATCCTTGTCTTTTCCAGGCTTACGACCACATCACGTTGAAAAACCGGTTCCCGTACGATCGCCGAAGTTAAGCAACGTCGAGCCTGGTCAGTACCAAGATGGGTGACCACTTACGGATACCAGGTACTGTAAACTTGGACGTTCGGATGGCGTAATAAATAATGGCTCGGAATTGTTAATCGGAGTTCCAATTCCCGTTGGGTTCGTTGTATTCACTTACAAATATACTTAAGAAAGCTATGAATCCACCGCTTTTCCCCTATTATGGGTTAATTAGTAAGACTTGTATTTCTAATAAATTATCTGAAAAAAGAATTTCTTTCAATCTAAAAAAAAATATTTTCTGGCTTTAAATAACCTGCAAAGGGTTGATAATCCGTAGAAAACGAATCAATCAATTATCTCTTCGATCTCTACAATTAAACTATATGATCTCCGGCCTTTTAATGCTATATTTCAAATGATGCGTTTTTCGCCATTTCTCTCGTGTATATCTCATGCAATAATTAACATTGTTTTTCGGACTTTTGTCATAACCCAAATTTTAGTACGGAACAATTTTTTTAACACTTTTTTACTAACATCGGTGGCATTCGGACCAACTTCTGCAGTGTTGAATCATCCATCGTTGATAAGTCTCCTGATATACTAGCTCTCTGTGAGACCAACCACAATCCGTCAATTCCCTCCTCTGACTTCTCGATTCCCGGTTAACTTCCTCTCCTAAGAAAGGACTCTGTTACCCACTTGCCTGGCCTGGGAGTTTACGCACGAGACCATCTGACACTGGCTAGGGAACTCTCTCTCTCTCTCTCTCTCTCTCTCTCTCTCTCTCTCTCTCTCTCTCTCTAATCTCCAGACCATTCCTATATGTGTCTCCGTCTGTCTCTCCTCAAATCTATCTCTTTTTCTCTATCGCTCTCTATTCTACCAAGACTGTGGTGTACTCGATTGCATTTCCGATAACATAGATAAGTCTGTCTCTCTACATCCATCTGCAAACATATTTCTGTTTGGTAACTTCAATGTCCACCATACCAAATGAAGAATGAACTCAGACGAGAAAAAATATAATCAGAAAAAATAATTCCAATCAATTTAAATTCGGTTTGAAATACACCAAATTATTCTTCTTATCGGAAATATTAAATTTAATCCTTTACCTTGGAATTAAGACTAAAATAAAAATTCAAGAAAGAGTTTTTTTCAATTTTAAAATATATTTTGAACCTTAGGTATCGTTTTTTTTTTTTTGGATGTACCTATACTTATCTACATACAAACAATAAAAAAAATACAAAACCGTTGCACACATGCACATATATAACAACTTCATGAGGGAGGTTTTATTTACTAACTAGTGATGGCTGTTAAACAAAGAGTAATCGTTTAAAACCAGTGTTATGTTTACCACTATCCAACAATGTTATCTTTTAATTTGACATGCCACATCATCATCGTCATCACTACTACTACTATTACAACAACAATAATACCAACTCCTCTATTACGGCAATCACAATAAAGAAGTTGATGTATTTGTTAACTCTTTTCAGTTCGATGCAAATAAATTCTCATTGATGGAAGCAGATTTATCTCTTTGTATTCCCAATAACCATTTGTTTTTTAGCTTTATTAGTAAATCTCTTCAAATCTGGTTCACGTTTTATCGAGTAATTTTATACTGGATTCTGTTTTGTTAACTGTATATTATTGATGTCTCAGGGAAACTGCAAAGGTTCAGTGTTAATTTCTTTTTATTTCCTTTAGTTTGCTTCCCCCCCCCACTTAAATTTTGCGTTTGATGAAGTTCCACTCTCTTTCTGTATTTCTCGGCGTCTCCACTGAACATGCATAATAATCTTGGCGCCTACTGCCAACTTATGGTGGAAAACCTAGCATTGCAACGAAGGGCTCTTGTAGTGAGTATAATCCTCACTCGCTGCCCCAGTGCCGTAACCCCACCTCGTCTCAAACACATAGTGACGACTTAGTCCCTTACTATTCTTGCTGTAGTGCAATGAGCACATGTAACTCAAAACGAGAACGACATATTCAAGAGACTGACGTACCACACTACCTCAAATAAAAGGCTAGAAAGGAACCCCCACCTTCTCAATAGTGGAAAGAGACTTGAGAAACCCATTTTCATGAAGAATTCTTTTAAGAGAAAGATTTTATAAATTTCAACCGACAGTAACCCTGACTTCCTCTGAATGTTTCCTTACCGTGATATTAAACGGCTAATATTACTATCACCGATAATTAGCAAGCTATTTTCGTTATTTACATTATTCTATTGTCCTCATCTTTGTCGCCATATTTGTCACAACGTTTCGGCTTTCTTCAGGTGGTTGGAATGTCGAACTGAACCCTTTATTTCGCTCACTAGTTCCACGTACCCTGTTTGATGGATGTCAGTTATCTCCTGCTAATTTCCCTCTGAAAGTTCTCCACTGCCTTATTGAACTCACACTTTTTGGGTCCTGTCACTGGATCTAACCAACGCCTTTATCCACTGTGCCATGTGTCCTTGAGAACATCTGGGCATGAATTTGTGGGTATTATAAACCTAATATCTTCAGCAACCATTTTTACCAGTGCTCATATTGCAATTTTGCTGTTATCATTGCATGTTTTTACCAGAGCTCATATTGCAACTTTGTTATCATTGCTTTTCTCTGGCACTCCTTATTGCTGGTTCCCATATTGTATTTATTTCTATGCTTGGTCGGCTCAGGAGATTTTTGTGGCCTAGCATATGTGTTGATTCCTTAAGTTTACGAATTTTCCAATGGTGTTCCCTGTCTATTATCTCAACATGATCCCACAAAGGACGGTGATCTCCTTTCTCTCTCCATATGTGGTCAGCCACGCCTGATTTTTCCACTTCCCCTCGTGTTACAGCTTTCTGGTGTTCTTGAAGCCTTGCCTTAAGGGGGCGGCCTGTCTCTCCTTTATATTCCTTTCCGTAGCTGAACGGGATAGCGTACACAGTCCTTAGTCATGCTCTCCTCTATGGGGAGGTCTCGCACGAGAGAGATATCTGCAAAGTGTCAGTTCGAAATTCCAACAACCTGAAGAAGGCCGGAGCGTACAACGGCTGAAACGTTGTGATAAAAATGGCGACAAAGATGAGGACAATAGTCCGAATAATGTAAATAATGTACATAATGCCTCATCTCAGAAATATAGACAGACTCTGAAGCTATTTTCGCTAAAGTCTTGACTCAAATGATTTATCTTTGTTTCCGTGCGCAATAATTTGATATAGATTTTTTTTAATATATATTTCTCCTCTGTGTTGATAAGTACCCCACTTTTAATGCCATGTCCCTTGAAGACCGAGGTAGTTATGGCTCTCCACAGATTCCTTTTTCTTATCAGTGAATTGCCATTATTTTACATATCCTTTAATTTTACGAAAAACACTATAACAAAGTGTAAATGTTTTCGTGTGACGCGTTTCGACCGTAAGGACTTCATCAGACTGAAGTGATGTTTACATTGATGCGATTACACATGCCCACGAAGGAAACGGGACGCTGAGAATTTTATTTTTATACATATATATATATATATATATATATATATGAAGAAAAATACAGAAAAAACAAACAAAAATCTTAATATGCAATTATGCTGTATTAATGTTAATATAAAGTCGACGTCGGACGTTTCGGTCTATTTAAGACCATCTTCAATCGATTTTTTTAATATTTTAATATTTGGAAATCATCTTCGAATACGTTTTCACAACATCGCCCACGTGACGACGACGTCATCATATTTAAACGGAACGCTGATCTTATATAAAAATTTCAGTTATCTGTTTGGATTAGTTGTGCTCTTATGTCCATCGTCTTTTGTGTAATATTTTTATATGTTCTAATGTTAATTATGTTTTAAATAAAAATGTCCATGAAGATGGTCTTAAATAGACCGAAACGTCCGACGTCGACTTTATATTAACATTAATACAGCATAATTGCATATTAAGATTTTTGTTTGCTTTTTTCTGTATTTTTTTTTTCGGATCTATGTCGGATCATATATCCATATATATTTATATATATATATATATATATATATATATATATATATATATATTGGGTATAAATATCCCATATTGTGATAACAGAAGATCCGCCAAGAAAGGTGAAATTTAAGAACCAGGACGTAAATTTACTGTAGATGATTAAAGAACATTCTAGACATTTTTGTATTAGTAAATTGCTTTCTCTTTTAATTAATGTAGCAATTTTTTTAAAACAGAATAATGTTCAGTTTCATTCAGTCAGTTGTGACGCCATGCTTAGGCGAGCATGTATCTTTCGATACATGACAGACGAGGCAGAATTTTTCCCGCAGTAGGTTGTTATTTCTTTCTACCATAGACCAGATTGCTATTCAAGGCTAAAGAACCCGGTCAGTGCTTCTATTTACCCATAGCTGAGGGGAGGAGAAAAGGATTCATACCTTTCCCAAGGGTATTAGCACGTAAGTGAATGTAATGGATTCGACTGGAATTCGAACTCAGCTCTCCGAATCCTGAATCCACTGTTCTATATATTTGCGTGTTTCTCACTTCATGTAGAAGATCAATCTTTTGACTTGTTTCTTCTCAATCAGTCAGTTATGGGCCATCCGTGATACACGCTTAGGCGATCATGTAACTTTCGATACATGACTGACGAGGTAGATTTTTTTCCGCAGTAGCTTGCCATTTCTTTGTGCCATGGACCAGTTGACATCTAAGGCTATAGAACCCGGTCTGCCCTGCTATTTACCCATAGCTGGGAGAGAAGAAGAAGAGGATTCATACCTTTCCCAAGGGTATTAGCACGTAAGTGAAAGCAATGGATTCAACTGGAATTCGAACTCGGCTCTCCGATTTCTCAAGCTAAGCCGCTATCCATTACGGTAACTAATCCATTGTGTTGTTTTGTAAAATATCTCATTTGTGTTCATATATTTTGTTTTTATTATCTTCTACACATATTCTATTCCTCTTACTCCGTAACACTCTGCCTAGAGTGGCCCTCGAGCTTTGTACAGGGTGAACATCATTGTAAAAATGTTTTCTTCGCGAATTCAAACCTGAAAAAAGGGACAATCAAGATAGCAAGGCTCAATAATAAAGAACCAAAACATTCAGAATTCAATCTTACTTTCAAAGTACATATAAAAAAAAGGAATTCCGAATTTTTAAAAGAAATGCTATTACAGAAATCTAGACGAGATTTTTATGCATTTGTTTATGATTTTAAAATCAAAGGAAATATTTTTGTACCATGGAACTACTGAAAAATTATGAGTTTATTCAGATATTCAGCTGTGTAAAATTTCCCAAATATTACTGTATTTTTCGGAGAGAATTTCACTGTTGTTTCTTCTGTAATTGTAAATGCGTTAGGTGCAGCTTAGAAAACTTTCTTTTTTTGATAAAAATCTGATATTTGTAATCTGAACCACTTTTTTAAAAATATTCATTTTTACAATAACATAACATGACCTTATAAATGCTAAACTATCGAGAAATTTTTATGATGGATTAATAAATTATTTAAGAGCAAATATATCTGTGCCAATAACGGCAATTGTTAGAAAGTTTTAAGTGAGATGCGATAAAACAAAATTTGAAACAATGTATTGTGATTCAATAAAGCGGATATCAGGAATTGACAACTAAAATAGAGGTTAATGAACCGTTTAATTAATTTGTTTTCTTATTACTACGCTTCTGTTTATTTATACCTTTCATGCCACGTACTATTTAATGAGACAGAACAAAATTAATAATATTTATAATTCCTTTAATAATATCATAGAGAAAATATCTGGGTGATACTAGGAAAAGCTTCACAAGTTAGCCGACTACAGTCGGACCATCAAAAATTTATTCGGATCTGCCACTAAGGCAGATCAACCAGACATATAAGGAGGCTTTCTACCTCTAACCCTAAACAAAAAGAAGTAAAATCCTCTAAAGGTGGGTCCTATAAGGGAAAAAATAATTTATCCACCTTCGTTATAGAGAATAAGGAAAAGGAACAAGGCAAGAACACTAGCATGGTGGCGGTCGAAGTCAGCGGTGTAGCGGCTGCAAAATCATCTTCATTTGGAGTCACCCCTTGTCAATGTGGCGGAGTTTGGTGAGAGAGCCAAACAGTACGATCATCTGGTTACAGATGGTGGGCTTTTGGTAGACCTCGATGCACAAGAGCGCATTGCAAAAAGAACAGTGTCAGTCTTTGTGCTCGACAACGTATATCACGTATAAAATTTGTCACTGCACTAAAGGCACAGTAATAAAAGCACTGACTTCCTTGGAGTTTAAACCTCAACAAATTATAAATGGCCTACGTACTGTTTCCCAGGCCAGAGGACTATGCGGATGTAACATCTCGTGATTTGATCGTAAAAGACTATATTATCTGCACAGAATACTGAGGATAGAGTAGGAACAAGGTGACGGTATATGAGATGCCTAATTACATTCTTGGAGAGCACTTAGGGTCATATCTTATGTCATATGGCCAATTGGGGAGTGTTACTCCAGAATATGAGACATCTGAGTGGGGGTTTGAATTAATGATAGACCAAGAAGCCTTTACCTCCATTCCCAATAGCTTGGGGATTGTCGGGAAGAATTACACCGTCATCGTGACGGGTGGGGGGGACCAGCTTGTTGGAAGTAATTGTTGGCGTGATTGCTCACCTGATCCCTTTCTGCCCAGAGAAGAAGGCCTCTGGAGTCCCGCCTCAGTCCGACCCCCCTCGAGCTGAAACTACTTGTTCCGCAACGCCTGTAATGGGCCTGACTGTGGCTAGCACTGGTGGTGAAAAAGCCCCAGTTGTGTCTCTTCCAGAGAATTCTCTTCCTTGCCAAAAAAAATAAAGGCGGAAGAGAAGCGGGAACTGCTGGTCGTGGGTAGAGCATCAGAGAAGCTCCAAGCCGCGGGATCTCAGTCCCCTGAAGCCCCCAAGAGCAAAGACACTTCCCATTCCCATTTCCATTCCCATTCCCATTTCCATTCCCATTCCCAAGGGTGAGACTCCGGCTAGCTACACTGAAAAACTACATCAGCAGTGCAAACACATATGATCCTGATTATGAGAAATTCGAGAAGATAATGGTGTTAGGATACTGAAGGTAAAAACAACCTGGACCAGTAGGGTTACTGCGTCCTTCAGCCTCTGTTCCATCTCCCTCCAAAAAAAATGTTAACCCCTCCTCCAAAGACTAGGCCATTGACACTAAGTCCTACAAAACTGATCCCCTTAGAAAGGTGCCCGCATCTCCTGGGGAAAAAAAGAGCAAGGATCAGTGGGGATATCTCGCCCCTCAGCCTCTGCCCCAACTTCCCCAACTCACAAAAGCTCGCACGCAGTGACTAGGTCACTGACCCCAACCCCTATGAATATGTCCCCATTAAAAAGGTGCCCACTTCCAGTGCATCACAGTCTTCCGCTCCTGCCCAATTACCATCACCAGCAGCAAACTCACAAAAGAGATATAGAATCCCATCTCTGGAATCTCGAGAGAAAGGGAGAAAGGTTAAATTGTCGTATAACACCGGAGTAAATGTCAAGCCAAATGGAAAGAGCTAAGAACTATGGGAACAGTATACATCACTTAAAGCACTCACTGGCAATGCAGGGGTATGACGATAAAGACAAAGAAAACCGGCGGGATTTTCCGGACGCAAACCAGAGGTCATTACTGTATTCAGTACTGACTGGGGGTCACGGCAGACATAGGGAATGGTGGAAGAGACTTTCAAAAACCTGGACATTACTCCCTCCTTGGCAATCTGGGAGAATTAGGAGGTAAAAAAAAACAGGCAATTCTGCACAGGGAGGGTCCTAGTTTGTTTTGTTTTTTTCACCCCCTCCCTATAGAGAGAACTAAAGCTAATTTTTCCTTGTGACCTTGGGGGTCTGGCTATTGACGGTCACGTAAAGAATGAAATAGGCCATGGGTCAATGGGCAAGGCCGTCGATATCCTCACCCCGGCAATGTTTAAGGCGGATGGCCAATCCTATTAGATCTAACAATGTCACTCATTTTAGCTACCCTGAATGTCTTGGGGCTGAGGTCAGAATCTCGCAGACTCACTCGCGACCTTCAGCGCCTGGGCGTGGATTTTCTAAGCGTAGCTTAGATGTGACACAATGTCGAAAGTATGGGTTACCCAGTAAGGATCGACCTGGGAGTATATATATGTGCTGTACAAGAGACTCGTTTCTATTCTAGTGGCCATGATGATAAACTGACGAAGAGGTTTGACTTCTTTACAGCGTATTATGATGGCCGTTCTATGTTTAGATCTTAGCTGGTGAACCGTTTTTTGAATTCTGTATGTAAGCTTGTCTTCGGAGATCTGGAGGACAGGTTTTGTGTCGTAGACGCTACCATAAAAGATCAGACATTTCGTCTCATTGGGGTTTATGCCGCCCAATGACTTATGGGAACGAGGCCGTCTTTCTTCGGCGGATCGATCCGTTTCTGGCGACATCTCGTCAGGTAATTTTATCAGGTGACTGGAATGTCGTCATCGATCCCGATATAGATCGTAGGGGAAATAGATTGGAGCCCTTCCTTCGCAAGTTAAAGGCGAATCCGGTCCTACGTGGAATTATCCGCCCTGCTGCAAAAACCCCGGCCAGATATTCCGCCTATGTCAATGATGTCACCGCTTTCGTGCAAAAAGCAACGCCGAGATTGACGAAGTTGGCAAGGAAATCAGCAGGTATGAGGAGGTAACGGGAGCCAAGATCAACTGCGACAAGTCTGTGGGCTTGCGGTTGGGTGCATGCATGGGAGTCTTTCTTCCCGATCCCTTCATTTGGACGGACGGGCCTCCCAAGATATTCGGCTTCTAGTTTGGCACCGACCTCCAGTTGGCGAAGAATTGGTTAGAGTTCCAAGAAAAGGCCGAGGCTGCAGTTCGTCTGTGGTCTTGGAGAACCTATCTACTCCTACTGAAGGAAAAATAATATAAAATAAATAGTAAATAAAATTTCAGAATTTAAGTGGAGACTTTAGAAGGAACCAGAAACCCAATACTGAACAGGAAACCAGGGATAAAGGTCTACTCCTGGGATATATATATATATATATATATATATATATATATGTGTGTGTGTGTGTGTGTGTGTGTGTGTGCATTGATTCTAAAATAGTTTGTTAGACTATGAACTCTAGGAGTGAATTTGAAAACAGGGACAATTTTATTTTGAAACACTATAATTTGAGAACAGTAATTTTTTCATTTGATCATGAGCTATTGAAAGTTAGAAAGTTGTAGCTCTTTAATTGTTTTTTTTTTGGGGGGGTTATCAGTAGAAGCCAAGATGGTGAAATCCGAAAAAAAATTACGTAAAAAAATTGCCAAAAACAATCGCAGTAATGAAAACTTGGGAATCCAAAATTTCAGAATTGCGGCTTCGGATCCGGTACGAAGTGTTTTTAATTTGCTCACAGAGTCGGCCTGATTCCAAAATGGTATGATATATTGGGCTAGGAGTGAAGTTGAAAAAGTGTAACACAGTGACACACTGGCATTCGCATTTATTATACAGATAACAAAAATATTTATTTTATCAACTTCCCTAATTTTAATATATGGGCTTTATCTGAGTTCCTGTGCAGCGTTTTTAAAATTAGGATTTTTATTTAAAGGTATTTTCTATTTAAATAATCTATCTTTTCAATAACGCTAAAATATGGCCGCTTAAATTTCAAAGAAGTCACAGACGAATATCACCCTGGTTACATATATGGTAATGTAAACCAGGTAACCTTTTCTACTCTATTATAATACATGTCACCACAATTAATGTTTCAATCAATTAATTATACTATATCTACATACCAAATATAGTATTAATTCTGCTAGTGAATTACATACAATTCATTGGCTGATTTGTTATTCATTTTTTATGCCTTATCTACTCTTTGTGGGTTATTTACACCGGAACGTATTCTGTATTGTGAGAATAACTGTATTTCTTTTTTCTATTTTGCGAATGAATATTAAATTAATTTTTTTTTTTGGGGAAATAACAATAATTTTTGTCCGGATAGAATACCTACAACTTTACTCATAGATGAGAGGAGCAAATGGATTCATGCCATTTTGCGCGTAAGTAAATGTAACGAACACGACTGGAATTTGAACTCGGCTCTCCGATGTTTTATTCTGAGCCGTTATCCATTAAATTACTCATTACACATACTCGTATTTTTATAAATCCTCCGCTCTCATCCACCACAAAATGATATATATATATATATATATATATATATATATATATATATATATATATATATATATATATATATATACTAGAATAATCCTAATCATATATATATATATATATATATATATATATATACCAGAATAATCCTAATCATATATATATATATATATATATATATATATATCCTGATCATATAAACCAATTGTAAGAGTCGTAGAATAGAGGAAAGCGACTCGTTTATTATTTTAATAAGAACATTGCCACAAACCTCTCGAGTACCAACTGAAAATGGTAATCGGCATTTAAATCAGAATTAAAATAGCCATGTTAATATATCCTTTAGGTAGTATCGTTGAAGGTCGTAAAGCAAGTGTAAATTCTTGCAATCCACTACCTGACGTCAAACTTTCAGTTGGTTTCATTTTTACTTATTTCGGTTTTATATCTTGACTTGTTTGAAAAACAATCTGTACTCGGTTACCTCACCAGGCAAATAATAATAATTCACTTTTGTTGAGAAATAACGGCTAATAAAGGGTGTTTTATTAATATGGATTATATATAAAGGTGTTTCATTAAGACGGATCAAAGTCAGCGGCAAATAAATCAGTGTCATTGGTGAACATTTATTTATTTCTCTATTGGATCCTGTTATTTAAGTCATAGCAATTATGTGTGAAAAATAACATCGCCCAAATGCCCGCCAAATCTGAAGAAAAAAAAAAAAATCATTAGACACTTAATTTAATTCACATTAAAATCGGTCCAAGTTATTGGAACACCCTTTATTACTACTATCAATCTTGGTGACTAAAACTGTCATGTGCTTGGTTCTGTCATTCATAGAAATATTCCTATAAAGACAGTTATTTACACAATTTATTCATATACGTATACACATAGATAGATAGATAGATAGATAGATAGATAGATAGATAGATAGATAGAGAGAGAGAGAGAGAGAGAGATAGATATGAACTGATATAGATATGTTTTATCGATTTATAAAAGAAATACTTATTGCAGTCAAAAGATTTATTTGTTGAATTATGACATCTGCACAGTTAATGAAAGGAGGTTTGTTCTCTGCATATTTAAACATATGGCAACCATTTATATGAAGTGTTAAATTCAAATTCTTTATGTTGCTAGTCTGAACTTTAAAATGGTTCGTAAGACTTGTTTGATAACTTCAGAGTTTGTAAAGCTTAAAACAATGCTGGGAATTACAAAAATTGTGAAGAATTTCATTGAATATCATGAACGACTGCGATGTAGATATGATAAAGCCAAATTAAAAACTCTCTCATCGATCTGTATACTGTATCAATAGAGATATCGTAAAAGATATTCAGATGGTGTCTGTAGATGAAGAGTTAGTTCACCAGTTAGCCAAGGAGCAAAAATAGGGCTCAGCTAGCGGCCCTATTTGAAAATGTCCGGGATGTAACGGATCTGTTCCAGTTCGAAAGTTCCGGTGCAAAATCATCAACAGTCAAACCAATCAAGTTATGAGACTTCAATATTTCAAAAATAATTTCATTAATTTATGAATAAATTCTGAAAATTTCATTAAGATCTGACAATTATTCGATTTTTTGCAAAAAATTTCCAAATCAAAAAATTAATAATTGTTTTCGTATTCCGCCATCTTGACTTCTTCTGATAAAAAAAAAACAATTAAGGAACAGAACTTTTTAACTTTCAATAGCTCATATTCAAATGAAAAAAATTATTTCAATAGTAAAAATTTTAACGAAAACTTTGAACGTGCTAGAAAGGATTAAAAATTAAAAAATTAAAAAAAAATGTTTCTTCCTCTTAATAATAACATAAACATTTTGACGATAACAGTTTTCAGTATATTTGAGGGCTTTTTTTCATCCTGCTATGCTAATTTTCAGCGAATTAGTGGAGGTGTCTACTGAATGGGTTCGAATTTTGTTTTTGGCAAGATTAATTTATCAGGAGTAAAATTGTCTTTATTGATTTTTCTAATGTCATAGATCATCAAAATGAATTAGAGAATAAAACTAAAAGAGAAATCCAATCAAAATATAAAGTCCACCGAAACGGATATTGCAGAAAAATTAATTAAGCGCGCAGAACATAGAGAATGACAAACTGTCTCCAAGGGCAAAAAGCAAATCGAAGAAACTGGTTCAAATTTGATTAGATGGAAAATTAGTTACGACTTCGAGTGAAAATAAAATGATCTTATAGGAAATGATTCAGTATTTCTAAATTGTCAGCGGCCAAGACAGAATAAATCAAAGGAAAAAGTGAGATATCGAGTGCCAATGCCGACATAAGTTACTTAGAGAAAGTTGCTTGATTTTTGGCACCTCTAATCGCCTCTTTAGTACTTCCTCTTGCTCACACTACATTCGGTCTTCTTGCAATTGCTCTTTACTTCTTTCTCCTCACTTTCCTTTACTACTTTCTCTTGGAGACTCTACGGTTTACTTTCTGTCTCTAGTACTAACACTACACGAACATTTCATTATCTGCGAAGTTTTAACAGAACATGGAACATTGGGCTTCGAAATCCGAAGGTGCAATGATATAACAAAAGATGCCTTCCAAAAGATTTCGTTAGAAACAAAGAGTGGGGAATTGTTATGTAATATTAGACTTCCTATATATGGCAGTGAATGCTAGTCAATTTCACAGACGAAGAAGAGACTTGCAGCAACGGAATTGCTGTTTTACAGAAGAATACTATGGACTGAATATGTGAGTAAGAACGAAGTTTTAAAGATAATGAAAACAAAAAGGACGTGTGTGGTTAGAAGTAGAAAAACTCAGTTTAAATTTCTGTGATACATATGAGAAAAGAAAGCTTATAAAATTTGACACTCACGTGATATATTGAAGGCAAATGTAACGGGTGGAAAGAGCGGGAAAACCTACCTAATAAGATTGAGTAAATGGATAACGAAACAGGAGAAAGGAAAGATGGTGAAAGAACAAAGCTTACTAAGTACTATAAAGGATAGGAATTTCTGGAGAACCGTGATAGCCCATTATATGAAGGGACATGGCATATAGAAGTATAAGTTACCAAGCACTCCATATATACAAAACATATATTGCATCTAATGACTATGTTCTCTATCCTGTCTTCATTGATTTTATGACGATGCCTTAAAGGTTCTGGATTACGGTGTTTTTGTTGTTTTTTTTTTTTTTTTGTTTTTTTTTTTTTTCAAACAAATTACAAAATTCAACAATTTAAAGCTGTACGATCTAAAATCTTCGACAATTTTATTTGTACCCTTTGAATTTCATTTAATTAAAAGTAATATCTTAAACACGCTTATCATAATTTCCAAGCCTCAAATCAGTACAGTTTCATTTTTTATTAGAGGTGCAGTTGTGTGTGTGTGATACACATTAATTTGGAAAATCTTGCAAAAATAAAAATAATTGTCGGATGTTAATGAAACTTTCAGAAACTATTTACATATGATCGAAATTATTATAAATATGTTTTTTTAATTAAAATCATGACAGAAATATTTTTTATATTTATTCCCGCCCCATAACTAATTTTATGAAAACTAGAAATTCGATCGCGTCATGTTTAGAGATTACAATAGTTAAAAGCACAAGGCTTTGAGGAATGCAAATCATGTTTTTTTAGTTTTTAATTGGAATACCTGAAAATCAGCTCTGAATTGTAACATACAAAAACTGAATAAAACAAAGATATTATTTAATTTCAAATGCTTTTATTTGCTTTTAGTTGTTTTTATGAATATGGACAATATTTTCTGAAAGCAAAAAATTTTTTCGATGAAAAATGAATTTTAAGACATTTATTTGTTATTTCTCTAATTATAATAGATTTTTACATTTAAGTTGTTAAAATATCATAAAATTAGTTGAAAGCCGCATTGGGTTTCCTAAGTGTCCTTATGAGATAGATCTTTTTTAGCGCGTTGTAAATTGTATCATTTTGACTAACCAGAAGATCCGCTGTAATTAAGAAATGTAATTTTGTGTTTATAATCGGACTGTAATTATAAAGTACGGAAGACCAACCAGAATACAATTAAGTTGCGTTATTTGAGTTAAGCATTGATCTCCGCTGTTAAGGCCTTTACTTTTGCGAAACGCGTGAGAAGTTAATTTGTTTTTTAATTTCAACTGAGAAGAGGACCTACAAGTATCAGTATCAACTTATGGAATCTATATATGATCTTATTTTTATATTAATCTCAGTTATGGCATTTTTCCATAAATGAAATATCAAAATTAATAATAAAATGAATGGAAATATAAATAACACAGTAAAATGTAATAAATGTACATAAAATTATAGTATTTTATGTACACTTCTGATAAAATTTCATAATGAAGGTACCTATAAATTAATTAAATACCTTTGTTATGAAATTTAATCTCACTCTTAACAGTCTTATTTTAATTTCTTTATAATATATTTTCCATAAAGTATCGTAAACGTAAAGGTGAAAGCTAAGTTCAAAAAAAAATTAGAACACTGAAAGTTTTCCTTAAAAATAACGAGGTAAATAATTTGTTCACTTAAATCTAAATAACTTCACTTTTCGCCTTCCGGAGAACAAATTATGATCATATAATCCGTCAATACGTCATTCAACACCTGTCAAGTGACGCGAAAGGTTATGACTTGCTTTGTTTTATTTTCAAACTACATCTTTTCGGCGCAGAAGCTAAGTTAAGCTTAGTTCAAAATATTTTCAATAAACATTATAATTTCTGATTTTCTTAAAATAAGTTTTGAAAAAATGATAATTGATTTTTAAAAGAATTTCAAAGTGAGATTTTCATCTTTTTTATAAAATGGAAAAAAAATGGATGCCATAATCGATTATCTGTCAATTTTGCTGACTCAAAAAAAAAACAAGATTGTTAATGAAAATTTCGGACATGCTCGGAACGATTAAAAAATGTAAAAAAATACCCCAAAAATACTTTGATCTTTTCTCTTAATAATAACATGAACATTTAGACGATAAAATTTTGTTTTTGTCAAGTTTGGCGTCTTTTTTATCATGCTATGCTCTTTTTTAGCGATCTCATGGGGGTACCTCATATATATATATATATATATATATATATATATATATATATATATATAGAGAGAGAGAGAGAGAGAGAGTGAGTGAGGGGGAGAGTTACCAAGTATCCATTTGACGAGAAATCAAATGACATCAAGTCATCTCCGCTCTCTAGTAACTCTGTTAATATCTTTTGTCTCTATACTGGTGACAATTAACGACGTGTTCCAATCTTCCTGTAACTTTATTGTATTGGGCGAAATCATCTGAACACACTAGTTTTTTAAAGGCTTTTGTGGCGCTATTGTAATTTACAATGTCAATGAACGTGAAAATGTTGAAAAATAAATAAATAATGAAACGTCTCATTCGTTGTTTCTTAGGAGGGAATAACTCGATAGCCAGCACCTAAATTTGGAAACTCTTCGCAGACTCTAAGATGCCAATTTTTAAATCTAAGATTCTTATAAATTATTCAAATTGGAATAGAAAACCAAAAATATGTATATGCTGTTAGCATCACTTTTTTTTCTTTTATCATTTTTCATCAACTACAAGTAAGATCAACTCCGTGTATAATATTACTACGAAATGAGGTTGTTATATGGACGTCATATGAGGAGGGGGTAAAACAAAAAGTACTGATTATAAGGTTATATAGAATGCATAACAGACTTGAAGAGGTTAATCTTGTAGTGATTGGAGAAGTATCCTCTCCTGTTTCTGACAAATGACAAAACAATGTCTTTTTAGGGAGCTCTTTTCTTCGCAATACTAGATTGGTGACAAGATCTCCTCATTTTACAATAGAAATGGCTAGATGTTAATAGTTTCGTTTCGTTTTGTGTGTGTGTGTGTGTGTGTGTGTGTGTGTGTGTGTGTGTGTGTGTGTGTGGAACTCTCATCTGGCTTCTTGTTTTCTAGTTAAGT